GGTCAGGAGAGGTCTGCCGCACCACGTGGTCACCTCCGGGGCAGGCGGGGATCGAACTCCTGCGGAAGCGGCTTTAGCTTCTCAGTGCTGTGCTTCAACCCACTGCGCCACCAGGGAGGGCCAATTGCATTGATTTTTTTCCCCCATGGAAGTTGAATTTTTCTCTAAATAGCGATGGAGGCCACCTGAAGCGCCCTGTGGACAGGAAAGGTGGGTAAATACTCGCTTTCCCTTTATGTTCCCATTGCTAGTAGAAGAGGCAGAGGGGAGGCTGTGCCCAGCCGCCTGAAGACCTTTGCTGCGTTTCCCATCCTGTCGACAAAGGGCCATGCGGAAGGGTATTCTCACTTTTAGACTGTTGGAAAGGCCCTTGATCTGGTTCTGAAGGGACGGAGGTGTGGGGGTGGCCCCCCAAGAGCCGGGAACAGCCTGTGCTGGCGGGCGTCACCGAGGAGCGCCCGCCAGCGCTGAGGCCGACTGCGGGGCGCGGGGGCGCGTGACTAGCCGAGGCGCTGCAAGCGGACAGAAGTCCGGCGCTGCTTGATGAATGGCTTCCTGGAGGATGAAGCTCTTTTATACAGACAGCTCTATTAGAAAAAACCTCAAGCCCAAACCCCTTCATAAATCATGCAGAAAATGGTTCCCTCACAACAACAGTAGTTCAAGCGCGGTGTCTATTTGTCTTTGGGTAGATGTTGATAAATGGGGCTCATCCTTGGCAGACTTGTAGCCGCTGATTGTACTTCAGCCGCCTGCCTGTGTGCACTGTGCTTCTGCTATGTGACCTCAGGGCGCCTTGATTTGGGGGGCTTTCTGCAGAATGTAAAGGCCTTGGGAATGAGGGGTTCTGGGAGTCGTTATCAATGAGCCCCTATTTTCTAATAAGTCTCCCACCCCTAATTCCTGACTCCCAGGGAGAGGAGCTCCCTGAGGGCCTGGTGGCAGCAGGTGCCACATGGAAAATGCCACTTTACATTCGAGTTCCCTCAGCACCCAGAGTCAGCAGGCTTGTATGTGGCCCCTCGCTCCTTGCAACTGTGTCACTGCTGTACTTCATCAGTCCCCTATCCTCCTTGCTTTACTGGTGGTGCATAAGTGCACACACACACACACACACACACACCATGACCTCTCTCTATCATCTGTCATCCACCCTACCCATCCACCATCCATCCACCTTCCATCCATCCATCATCCATCCTTCCATCCATCATCCACCCATCCACCCATCTATCCATCATCCACACATCCATCATCTATCCACCCATCCACCCATCCATCCATCCATCCATCCATCCATCCATCCATCATCCACCCATCCACCCATCCTTCCTTCCAACCATCCATCCATCCATCATCATCCATCCATCATCCATCCATCCATCCTTTCATCTATCCATCCATCCATCTACCATGCATGCATCCATTCACCATCCATCCATCTACCAACTGTCCATCCATCCATGCCTCCATCCATCATGCATTCATGCATCTATGTATCCATGTATCCAGCCATCTACACATTTCTTTAACAAGGACATGGTTCCTCTTTTCTATGTGACCACTTGGACTAGGATCTCTTGCATTCTTCATTTCCAGTGGTTATTATAGAGTTCTGAGGTAGAGTGTGTCACAGGACTCTATTCTTGGTGAACTCTGAGACTTAATTTGCATTTGCAGACCAAGGTGATTGGGGGACCAGTGATATTGTCCATTTTTAAAGTGGTTTGCTGTTGAGTTGTAAGAGCTCTTTATATATTCTTACAAAATGTATAATTTGCAAATATTTCCCTTTTATTTTCATCTTCTACATGTACTTTGAGGCACAAATTTTTTAATTTTGATGAGTCAAATTCATTTTTTTTTATTGTCCATGCTTAAAGTCCCTTGCTGAGTAACTTCATCTTGTGAGACTTTTATAGTTTGTGTTGTTATATTTAGTTCACTGTATTCTGAGTCTATTTTCTAGGTGGCGTGAGGTTAGAGATAAATTTCACTCTTTCGGGTATGGTTATCTGGTTGGCCCTGCACCGTTTACTGAACAGGCTGTTTTTTCCCTTTTGAAGAATTGTGGCACCCTTTTAAAATGCTTCTTGGTTGTAGATGTGGATTGAGTTCTTGATTCTCAGTTCTGTTCCATTGACCTATATGTCTAGTCTGTGGGGTATCACTCTGTTTTCAATATTATAGCTTTGAATATGAAATTGAGAAACATCAGTGCTCCAGCTTTTTCTTCTTTTGCAAGACTCCTTTGCCATTCTAGGAATAAGGGGATTGGCCCTCCTATTTTTTTAAAAATATTTTATTTATTTATTTTTGCATAGAAGAACTGGAATGCAGGCCAGAAGTGGGGGGGGGGGAGCAGGGTGAGAGGATTCACCAGAGACAGAGTGGGGGGCTGAACAGGCTGATCCACGGAATCACAGCCGAGGGGAGACAGGAGGGACCTGCTATGACATGTGGGTCACTCCCTGGCCAGGGATCAAGCCCAGACCATCGCAGTGATAGCCTGAGACTTAATCTCTAGGCCACCAGGGAAGCCCTTGCTTTCCTGTTTATGCATAAGGGACCACTGGCAGTTTGGTAAGGACTGCATCAAGCATGTAGACTGCTTTTCCCCTCACCATTTTGGATGTGTCTCATTTCTTTCCCTTGCCTATTTGCTTTAGTTAAAACTTCCACTACATTGTGAATGGCAGTGGTGACTATGAGCATCTTGCCTTGTTCCTGATCTTAGGGGACACGCTCTCCCCACTGGATATGAGCCTGGGTCATAACTGCCCTTCATTAGTAGTAATCTGAGTTCTCTGAACATCAGTCTTCTTACCTGTATTTCCCCCTTTTCTCCTGACCAAAATACACTTCTTGACCTTTTTAATATCTCCTGAGTGGGCTCATTCTCCCCTGGGTCTTAGCTTCAGTCACTCTCCATCGCCAGTGGTTCTGTCTCCTTAGATTGCAAAAGGGCAGCAATGGATTCGCCCTTGTGTTTCTTGGTATTCCCAAGCCTGTTCTGAATTTCCACCGTCCTGTCACCTTCTCTGGTCCTTGCTTACGAAGTACCCTGCTGGATCATCGGGTGTGGTCCTGCCCTGGGCCGTGTGGCTTTCAGGACACCTTCTTTTGCTCTACCTCTGCTGGATGCTAGAGCATGTCCTGGCAGTCATGATCCCCTCCCACCCTTCAGGAGAATCATCCCAGTCCAAGCCAGTCACCTATTCTGTCAGGTCACGGTGCCAGTGTCCTGACAGCTTCATACCCCCCATGCTCCTCTTCAGTCGATGCTTCCTGCAGCAGCCAGGACAAATGTAACTGCTAAGATGTATGTGGATATAGGTCACAGAAACTGGTTTTCTAACTAGCTTAAAAATTGGAAATTTTGTATGCTCAGACTCCAAAGCTGGTGGACTCAGTAGCTCAAGTTAATTCCCATCTCCCCATGACCTTCTTTGTCTTCAGGCAGAGTTCCATCAACATGGCTGCTGGTAGCAATTGACCCAACACCTTTTTCTTTTTAAAGCTGTATTTATTTATGCATACAAACCAGAGGTTGGGAGTGAGAGGCTTCCCCAGAGACAGAGCAGGGAGCAGAACAGGCAGATTGACTGAAGTACACTGCTGAGGGGAGCAGTGGGTGGGCCAGGAGAGGTCTGCCGCGCCATGTGGGTCACCTTCGGGGCAGGTGGGGATCAAACTCGTGCTGCAGTGGCTGTGGACAGCTTCCTAGTGTTGTGCTTTAACCCGCTGCACCACCAGGGAGGGCCCCGAACACCTTTTCCTCATTCGCAGGCAATGATAGATGGAGGAGGAGGAAGATAAAAGAGGAGGAAGTGGGGGGGGGAGGGAGAAGCAGAGCTGTCTGTTAGGGAATAAAAACAATCCCCCTCACTCCGAGTGGGTCGCTCAGGCTTTGTTTATTTCTCCAAACCACTCAGCCCCAAATCAATCAGAGTGGTCAGCAGAAAGCTCAGATTTGTCTTGACGTCCCGAGGGTGGAAGGGGTGGATACCTGAATCTCCCGGTTTCTGTTGGGTGCAAGGAAAGGCAAACGGGCTGGTCACTTGTGTTTCCTAGTACAGGTCAGGCCACATTGCCCTGGTATCTGGAGGCCTCTGTCGCTCCTCTTTGCCTTCACAAGCATGCCAGAAATTCTCCAAGGGCAAACTAACCTCACCCCATCTCCACACTCAGTGTGACCCGACCTGTTGAATCTTCATTGCCTCTCAATTTCTCCTGCTCCGGCAACTTTGAAAAAGTTCCTTTCAGAGATATGACTATTCTTGCCAGAGACGCTGGTCCCAGCACCTGTGTGGGTTGCTACAGCGACAGGTGTGAGGGAGACGCCTCGGTGGCTCTGAGCTCCTTAGTGTGTGTCGTCTGGGGCTCTTTCAATCCAGACCAAATTGTTTTTTTAGCACATCCTCACCCTTCAGGCTGAAGCAGCAGTGTTTGAAAATACCCCACGCTGTCACAACTTTATCTCCTCCCCACATGGGGCCGAGCCTGAACCCCCACACCCCCAGAGCCCCAGGCTCCTCCCCACCCCTTCACGGTCTGCTCCAGTCTCATCTTCTCAGTGAGGCCTTCAGACTTTTCTGTCTAAAAGGGAAACGCTTTCCTGTCTGCACTCCTCTGCTCTGCCTTAATCCACTCTGCTATTTCTTTATATTAGTTTCTGTCTCCTCCTTCTAGAATAGAAGTTCCATGGAGGCAAGGATTTTGCTTTTAAGTGTCTCTCATCCCCTAGAGTAGAGCTTGGCGCAGACAATACCCCTGGATGGTTTGTTCCGTGAATTAATCTTTGTGGAAAATGAAGGTTTGCAATCAGCGGGCTTTTGCCCCGAGAGAGAAGTAACTCACACCTGCCCGTCTTTGTGGAGGGGCAGGTCTTTTTCCTGTGTTCTGACTGCAGATAGCATCTGAGAGGAAGGAAGCTCAGCTGTGTGGTGGCCTGCAGGGGAGCAGCGATTGTCTGAGACCAGCTTCCCCAGAGTTCAGAGATGGATTATCTGACTTTCCTTTTGGCTATTTTTCACGCATACAAAGGTAATGATAGTGTCTTCATTTTAAAAAAGGTACTTTTTTTTTTTTTTAAATTATACTGTGACATATACAGAATTTATGATGCACTTTAGTTGGCTTGGATAACATCTCGCTTGTTTGGAAAGATGGATGCCAGTTATCGGTAGTGGAACCTTACCAGACTGAGGCAGAAGCTGTGAGCGTTGATGTTTACCATGAATTCAACCTACTCTCTGGCTGGTTTCACAGAGCTTGGAATGTGCAGAACGTCTGTTTTAGTGTGCACGACTAATTGGGTCACTGTGATGTGTGTTTCAGCTCTGTGTGGAGAGACGTTTTGGGATACCACCGTCCAACTTGCTGAGAATATGACGCTAGAATGTGTGTACCCGTTCCAGGACACCTTAACGCAAATGGAGTGGTTCAAGATCAACGCCACGCAGAAGGAGTCTGTAGCCATTTTCCACCCCTCCTTCGGGATCCACGTTAGAGAGGCCTATCACGGGAGGGTTCACTTCCTAAACTCAAACGTGACTCCCAGCGACATGACTCTGTCCTTCCTTAATGCGACCGAAGCTGACATGGGCTTATATTCCTGCCTCCTTCACACTTTTCCACGTGGAAGCTGGGAAAAGGTGGTTCAGGTGGTGTCACCAGGTAAGTGAACATTGTGTCGACTCAAATGAACCTTTGAGTCTGTCAAGTCCAAGCAAAAGTTGTGAAATATTTTACCCTATTTCTGTGACATTTTCCAGTTCTATCAGTCGAGTCTAATATGTTGTGTCAAGCAAACATTCCTGTGAATCTCATTTGTTTTTAATTACTATGTTAGTAATTTTGAGTGGACAAAGTATCTCACATATTTGAAGGTAGTTGGCGAAAGGACAGGTTTTATATTACCTTGATAATAACCAGCTTAGGTACAACTGACATTGGCTGCATTTGGCTTAGGAGCCAGAAACACTTAGGAGCCTGCTCAGTGCTTTATCTCAGTGAAATGCAGGCAAACCTCAGAGACAGCCAGGTTTAGTTCCAGGCCACTGTGATAAGACGAATATCTAATTAAGGCAAAACCATTGTTTTGATTTTCCAGCTCGTATTAAGGGTATGTCTCCACTCCTCTGTTCCATTAAGTGCACAGTCGCATTACGTCTAAACAATAATGTGTGTGTCTTCATTTAAAAGTAGCCACTGTCTGTGTGCATTAACCATCATCTGGGACTTCGGTGAGGGATAATCTTTGGCTGCTGGAAGGTTTCTTTTTCTTTTTTTTTTTTTTAAAGATTTATTTATTTATACATACAAGAACTGGGGTGTAGCCAGAGGTGTGTTTTTTTTTTTTTTTTTTTAAAGATTTATTTATTTATACATACAAGAACTGGGGTGTAGCCAGAGGTGTGGGGGATGAGGCAATTCACCAGAGACAGAGTGGGGAGCAGAACAGTTGGGTCTACTGAAATTCACTGCTGAGGGGAGTTGATGCACCATGTGGGTCACTGCCTGGTGGGGCATGAACTCGAGCTGCAGTGGCTGCGGAGAGCTTCATAATGCTGAGACTTAACCCCTTAGTCCACCAAGGAGGTTCTGGTGGAGGGTTTTGACTCCATTTCATGGATGCTGACCGGTCAGGCTGGTTGGCTGTTCCTCAAAATAACGACAATGAAGTTTGTGATGTGGAATGATTTTCCTGTCCATGAAAGTTTTCTCTGTGGCTTGTGGTGCTGGATGAACATTCACTCCCACGTTTTTACCAACTTCACGCCGCTGCTGCTTTGGTAGTTAAGTTTCTGTCATACTCTAAGTCCTTGTCTCCTCAGTATCTTTCCCGATAGTCTCATTCGGAGTAGATCCCATCTCAAAATACCACTTTCTTCACTGAGCCATATACAGCAAGTCTTTATTCATTAAAATTGTAGCGCAAGTTTGCAGTGACCACTCACCTTGATGGGCTCCACCTCAAGTTCTCTGGTTACTTCCACCACTTCTGCAATTCCTTTCTCCACTGACATCTTGAAGCCCTCAAAACCTTCCATGAGGATTAGAAACAATTCTCCCAAACTCCCGTTAGTGTTGATATTTTGACCTCTTTCCATGAATCACAGGTTTTCTCAATGGCATTGGAACGGTGAATCCTTTCCAGTTGACTTGCCAGTTGGTTTTCAGTTGACTTTGTCCACATCCATCAGAGGAATCCCTGTCTATGGCAGCGGTGGCCTTACAGAATGACTTTTTTTTTTTTTTTTTAAGATTTATTTACTTATGCTTACAGAACTGGGGTACAGGCCAGAGGTGCTGGGGGCGAGAGGATTCACCAGAGACAGAGTGGGAAGAAAAACAGGCAGATCCACCAAAATACACTGCTGAGGGGAGTAGCCGGCAGGTCAGGAGAGGTCTGCTGCGCCATGTGGGTCAGCTCCCTGGCCAGGGATTGAACTCATGCTTCAGTGGCTTTAGAAAGCTTCATAATGCGATGCTAGAACCCGCTGCGCCACCAGGGAGAGCCCAGTTGGTTTTTAGCTTCATAATGTTTTCATAGCTTTTAATGTGTTTTCCTCACTAAATGTAATCAACCCCAGCTTTTGCAGTGAAGGTGAGAAATGTGCTACTCTTCCTCACACTTGAGCACCTGTGTGGTGACTAATTGGTCAAGTTTCAATATTGTTGTGTCTTGAGGAGCAGGGAGACGTGAGGACAGGGAGGGAGGTGGGGGACACTTGGCTGGTGGAGCCGTGAGAGCTCATACAACATTCACCAGCCTCGTCGACGCTCCTGTATGGGCGCGCGACGACGGTAGCCTGAAAGACTGCTAAGGTCAACACCTAGTGCAAGAATGAAAAAGTTTGACATGTGATGCGACGTCCCAAAATGTGATGCGGAGGCCAGAAGTGACCAACAGGCAGCGTGGCACAGACTCGCTCAAGGCTGGGTAGCCGCAAGCCTGCACGTTATAGAAAATGGAGCTGCCGTGAAGAGTTATGAAGCGAAGTGCAATAAACCGGGGTAGCGCTACTTCTTTCGCTTATAACTCAGCACTGCAAGTCTGTCCCAAGTGCTCCCCAGTCTAGGTTTCATGACAGAGCGCGCATCAGAGGTTGTTAGCTGTCGTTTTGGAAAGAATTGAGGGGTGTGTCACAGGGCTTTCCACGTGCTTGCTTGTGAGGCCGCTGGTACAGCTTCAGTCCTCAAGAGGACCAGCGGCAGGTGTGGCATCCTGCAAATCCTGGGTCTTCTGGCCTTTACCCTACAGAATGTTCCTCAGTCTCCACTTCCTGGATAGTGAATTGAGTTAGTTATATCATTCTCTTTGCTGCATGCTTTAGGAATGCATAGTAAAGCCCTGAGCCCTGACAGTCAGAGGATAGTAGGTAGTATTGTCCGGTTAGTATTTCTTATGCATTTGATACAAAATGATGATGGTGATATTTTCATTTGTCAGTGACAATCTGGGGAAGAAAAGAAATAAGAATTGTGTGCTTTTTTGTCTGTGATCTCTGGATCTCTGAAATTAAATTCCAGACAGGCGCCCAGCATAATACATTCTGTGATGCTTGACATGGTGCCTTCTTTTTGAGGACTCAGTATCGTAAAAGATCAAGGTATAGCTTATGTAATATCTCATGGTCAGGAGGTAAGAGCAATTTCTACCTGTCAGCTTTCCTTTTCTCTTCAGGTGGAACTAAGCTCCAAAATAATTTGTGCCTGTGGGTGAGAGCTACAGAGCATCGGAAAGCAGGATCTCATTAGCTCAAAGCTTGTTCATTAAAGACCTATTTTGCCACTCAAGTCCTCATTGCTGTTGGGTGCGGTCGCCTGTGAAATGCTGTTTGCAAACGTGTAGCGTGTGGCCGCTTCTCACTGGCTGTGCGTGTGAAGAAGAGAACTGCAAGCGTGGGGTAGACCAGCCTTCCCATGTGGGACCTGAGCCCTCCAGGCCAGGCCTTTGCAGTATCATGTGTTCCAGTTTCTGCGAAGTAAAACCAGCTGAAGACAGGGGTGGGAGGTGAGGGGTTGGGAGACGAGGGTTTGGGAGGCGAGAGTTGGCAGGCGAGGGACTAGGAGTTGTTGGTCAACAGGACAAAGGAGGAGCCGTGAGAATGCTAAGTCTGGGGACCTCAAGTGTAACATGGTGACGGGACTGAATATTAAGTCAAATACTGGAAACCTGCTAAGAGAATCGATTTCAGATACTCTTGTCCCACACAAAAAGAGGTCACTAGGTGAGAAAGGGCATGTTGGTTAGCTTGACCCTACGGACATTTCTGTCATGTGGCTAATTTTTGGTTGATCTGTATTTAAAGGTCTACATAAAGTCATCACGCCATGAGCCTCCTATGGATACAGTCTTTATTAAAGAAGAAAAACAAAACCGGGGAGCTCAAGCTCTTTTGCAGGTTTAGGGGGAGGACGGAGGCCCTCAATCGAGAGAGCAGAGGTGGTCGCCTCGTGAGGTAGCGCTGTGTGTGCTCAGCACTGGTGCTCCCTCCACATGGCGTGTCATGTGTGTATCATGTGTCTTTGCCATTTACATTTGTCATTTATCATTCTGAATTAATGCTGCTGTTAGCTTTTTGAGGACAGGACAAGAGATACCCCTACTTCATGGATTTTTTTCCCCACAATCTGAGATTTGCCATAAAAAATTGCAGTAATGGGCCAGTGACAGTATTCCATTCACATTTTTTCCCACAGAAGAAATGGGGTGCAGGCCAGAGGTGCAGGGGTGAGAGGATTCCTCAGAGACTGAGTGGGGAGCAGGACAGGTGGGTCTACTGAAATCCACTGCTGAGGGGAGCAGTGGGGAGTCAGGAGAGGTCTGCTGTGCCCTAGCCGGGGATCAAACTCAGGCTGTGGTGGTGACAGTATTGAGACCCAAACCTTAGGCTACCACGGAGGCCCTATTTTCACTTTTGAGATTTAGAGGACTTCATTTCTCAAACTGAAAGTGAGAGTGAATTAAAAAATCAATACTAGGCAGATCTCAAAATTTCCCTTAAATATACTTAAAGCTTTTGTGGCCTATTAGCAAAATATTGTGATCTACAGATACCACTAGCCAAGGGGTTCTGTATTTTATAATTTGGGGTCCTTGGTAAGGTTTTATGCAGTGGTTCCTATGAGGGAAAAGAAGTTGAAATCCAAGAGGGCATTAAATGAGACTGGAAAGTTACAAAGGTCTTGCTGTGCCTCGTGGAATTAGAACACCACTCTGGGATGTAGGTTGGGGCAGTGACTGCATGTTTTTCAGAGGGACACATAAGAAACCAGCATTTTCACAACCTAGAAGGTAGGCCAGTTGTCTTTAGGAGGGAGCTAAAGGGTTAGGCGCACAAATATGACGTTATAAATCAGAAAACTTGTGAGCTGCTGATTAGGGTGTACATTGGCCTGCTGTCATATTGTGGCTCCTAGTGGAATTTTGAGTCTTCCAGAACAGAGACCTGATAGAACCTGCGTGTATATAGAAAGATTTATGATAAGGAGTTGGCTCATGTGATTATGGAAACTGGCGGGTCCGAGTCAACACTGCAGCTAGAGGGCTGGCAACTCAGGAGACCTGCTACTGAGATGAAGTGGGAGGCAACCGGCTGCATGGTCTCCCCGAGTTTGAGGAAGCCAGGCCTTTGGCCTCTTCACCTGATTGGACGAGGCCCACCCTC